ATATGTGTGTTTTATGTTGTAGTATTTTTGAAGTTATATTTTGGAATACAGTTTGATTTCTTTAAGGAATTGTAGGATATTATATCGATTAGTGTCATGAAAGAATTCTTTCATGTTGGTTGGTTGATTGATTTTGTTTATCGGCATATGAAACTCTATGGGTTAATGCCGAAATCTAAAAAATTTGAACACAATTTTATGGCTTGAACTAAATATATTTTGAACGCAATTGTATGCTTTCAACTACTGATAAAAAAGATTTTAACAATTATAGATAATCTCACTGGAGAGGGATTAACCAGAATATTGTTGACACCAACAAGCATTAAACCCAAAGAAGGATTGCCGAATAGACAACGGGGAGGGTGTTAGCGGATCATAATAGCACAAATGCATATTTGCTTCGATAACCTATAAGAAGAAAAAAGTAATCAAAACATTGAAATGTCCAAAAGAAATGTCATAGAGTTTTAAAATAATTTTCTATTTCACGCCAAACAAAGCGATAATACCATTAGGATGCAAGGTAGGGGTTATAGGGAGTTAAAGAGAAATAATTCAGTGAGGAGAAATAAAGAAAAGGTAAATAAAGGAACAGGATTGAGGAAGACAGAAGATGGCGACTGACGTTGTATTTACATTTTTGAAGATTATGGATGGCAGGGAAGCAAGGAATCTGGAAAGCCACAGCTGTGAAGTGCGAGACAAGAAACTATCAAAGAAGAAGTGACGGTTGTATCTAACTAGTTAAATTGTAAAATGGAGAGACCTAATTGCCAATCTAGTAACAGGCATGAATTCATGCAGTCGAAGGACTAAAGAAAAAAGTTCATCAGGACATTGACATGAAGGTATTTGTAGAAAAGACAGAAGAAAGCCACGTCATTCGGCGGAGAAGTGACTGAAGACGAAATGCCATATCAGGATTGCTTATATTCTTTGTATTTTGTCAAGAACCTCGAGATATATAGTAGCAATCCCAGACCAGATATATATATATATATATATATATATATATATATATATATATATATATATATATATATATATATATATATATATATATATTCTAGCCTCCAAAGCTACACAGAAATGACAACATAGTTGATGGCTAAAAATCTATAGTTAGATACAAGCGTCACTTCTGTTTTAATAGTTTCTTGTCTCGCACTACTCAGCTGTGGGTTTTCAGATTCCCTGCTTCCCTGTCATCTACAATCTTCAAAAATCTAAATATAACGTCAGTCGCCATCTTCTGTCTTCCTCAATCCTGTTACTTTATTGCTCTTTTCTTTACTTCCCACTAAATTATTCTCATTCTCTTTCACATTAGAGCAAGTTAATTTTTCACTTTATTTAGAAAATCAACATTTTAATCGGTGTGAAAGCTGGGGTATGATGCAATAGGTACTGGCACCAAAAATTAGATTCTTGGATTTTAGAAATTCTTGTGCATTAGGTTTAAAGATCGTCTGAGAAAATGCACAGAAATATCTAATTTCAGTAGGTTTTCCTTACAAACTGAGTTCAAAATTTTACTATTTCAACAATAAATGCAAATAAAGTTGATATTTTTTGTATTATATAAATTGCATGGAAAATATATTCAAATCAGATTTCTAATTATGAATCACTACAAACAAAATATGCAATTTTTTATTGTATTGTATTCGGTAAGTAAAAACCGTGTAAAAGATTACAAAAAAGGCTACTCAATGAATAAGATTAGTTAAATCATTTACTAGATCATCATTATCAAATAATAGATAAAAGTGTATATAACGACATAATACTCCTGGGCACAAATTATAAAACATTATTTTAAATTCGCATTGTTTATTGAAAACCACGCTAAAACTACTGCAATGTATAACATATTACATTATAATATCGCTAAATTGTTCAGTATGATTTCCCTTTGAAGTAAATGAAGGTTTTTTTGATAGCACAATGATTTAGTAATAATGTGCTTATTCCATGCATCTTGTCCATAGACAATTTGTAAAGCTTCAGTAAATTATAATTTTTATAAGCCTGTGCTATAAGGCTTTCATTGAACAACGGATTTTGAATTAATCTTAATCTTTAAACTCGTTTCCTCAAAAATCGGTAACGCTTTGGAAAAAATATTTTGCCATTATTTATCCTTTCAAAACCCTTACTTTTAAAATGAGCGCAATACCACGCTTCCAAAATCGACTTGCCCTGCTGTAGCATGTATAGACAACTTTTTCGAAAGTCTGGCGTTAATTTCAAATTATATAGTTATATATCAGTATATAACTATATACTAAGCGTCACATAGTTCTAGCACTAAAACAAAAGGCATGGATCATCCACTGAAAATCATATTCATTCTAACTTGTTTAGATCTTGTAGTTTTCTTTTTGTGTCTACCATAAACAGTGTCATCTACATACCTTATATTGTTAAAATTGTGGCCACCATTAATAAATTTTGTTATGATCCCCAACTACCATAGGAAAGCGTCACTGTAAAGGTTGAATAAATCCGGTGAGACGACGCAACCTTGTCGTACGCCCCTTTCTATCTTTGTGAACCAACTCAAATCATTTTTTTTATTCGAATGCAGGCGATTTTCTTCCAGTATATGTTCTGGATTATTCTAACGTCCTTCCTAAACAGATCGAATTTTCTTACACATCAAACAGATCTTCAAACAGATTTTTATGATAATGTTAATGGTAATCATAGCCGTTTCCCTACAAGCAAACATTTGGCATTCATTGACCAAACAGACTGTCCTGTTTTCCGTAGAAATTTATAAAATCATTCTCTTAAAAAACTTTTTTAGGAAAACAAATTTCTCAAGTCCAGTAGCTGCTATCGCTCTTTGCAGTATTGCTGTGGATTTCCTTCCTAACCTTCTATTTGAAGTGGTGTGGAATGTCGACATCTTGATTATGTTATTATTTTCTTTTCGAGTTACATGTGCTATACATTTTAATTGTTGCTACTTTTGGTCATCCTCAAGTTATCTGGTTTCTTTTATTTGGTACAGGTCTTTGTCCTTGATTCTATAGCACCACTCCGCAATGTTGAAAACCGGGTGGTCTTTGACAAGACCCTCCGGCTTTACTCGCTCACAAAGCCCTTTTTCAACATTGATCTTAAAAATTGTTTCTATACAAATATTTAAGTGTTTCTGAATGCCGTACCTTATCAACCGCTTTTCAGTAATCTATGAAATATAATTGTATATTTTTCTGCGTTTTTATTGTTCTTTCTCATATTCTAATTGTTGAAACTTGAATAAAGCATGGAATAATAATAATACAACACAAAATGTACTTAAACAAAATGTATTGACACAAGAACGTGTACACAATATTTACAGATAGTTTGGTATATTCTTGGGAAGACCGTTCCTGGAGAATGTGTTGACTTAGTCGCAGTCGGGCAGAGTCTCTGGATTGGATCTCTTCTTCCTCACCCCCGTCTTCCCGGTACCAACCATATTTATATGGTCGGCACTCCACTATGTAAATTAGGTGGATCGTACCACAACACTAATGATACATGTAACATTTCTTCCATTGTTCTTGATAAGACCAAGCTGTTCTTACGTTATTTTCGGGTTAATTCTGCTTCGTGCGCTATTCATATGAATTCGGATTATTAGCATAGTTATATGGCTCATTATACTGATCGTCCAAAGGAGCTAACATGACATATATTCCATTTATCATTTCTGTAATGTTAACTTTGGAGTAATGGATGGTGGCACGAATTGAAAAATCGGAGAGCTGAGTTCGAATTCCAGTCGAATCCATTATATTCACTTACGTGCTAATACTACTGGGAAATGAATCCTCTTCTTCTTTCCCCTGCTATGGATAAATAGCAGGACAGACCAGGTTCTATAGCTTTGGATGGCAACTGGTCAACCGCAGAAAGAAATGGCGACCTACTGCAGGAAAAAATCTTCCTCGTCAGTTATGTATCGAAATCATGTATCACGTATGGCACATAACTGATGGAATTTTTTTAACGATTTCGAAATTGTTTAAAGCTGAGAGCATTTCTATAACGATTGATTTTGCTGTTTTGTTCCTGTACATCCTGTCCACTGCCGGTCTTATTTTAGACTTTAATATTTCCGATGCGTTCATATTTTTGTATAATACAAGTTTGTCTCTCATTGTTGTGCCCCCCTCTTTATTTGGAGCATCTCTCTTTTAATTAAAAAAAAAGTACTCGTCCACACTTCCAGGGAGGATTTGTCCTACTTCTTTTGTTTACAAGAAAGCGAAAAGAGCATTTATAGTTAATATCCTATTTTTAAATTGCATTAGCATCGGTGTTATATTCTGACCCTCTTTCACATGAGAGTCCACACCTTTTTGTCATGTTATTTTGTTTTTTTTATTTTTTGTAGACTTACTATCCACACTGTTACCATATTGTGACATCTAACACAAAAGAAGAAAACATACAAGCTGTCCGGAATATACTAAGCGTAGTTTTTTCGTCACAAATCGCAGATCACCGAACTCCGGTTCTTCAATGGGGTCTCACATCTCCATGAAAGGGTGGATAGCTTCCCATATTCATTTTATTCTTTTTTAATAACTTTTTTCTAAAGAATCAACCGGCACCTGAATTTGAAGAGGTTGCAAACCGGGGGTGGTATCGAGGTTAGTAGACAGTGTATTAATTCATCATGTGTCCTCTGTACACTGTGCATACAATCAGGGCCCATCTCGCACCGAACTAACTCGGGTTTTCTATTCTACAAGTTTCTTTCGTCGTATTTCTTTTCGCTTTTCTTTCTTTATTTCGATCGTTCGATTTCTTTTTTTTTTTTTTTTTTGCTCCATTTTCTTTCTTATATTTCTGTCTTTCACACATTTCTTTCTCATTTCTTTCAAACCTTTTTCTTTATTTCTATTTCTTTCTTTATATTTCTAATCTGCCCTTCTTTCTTTCTTATATCTTTTTCTTTCTTTCTTTCTTATGTTTTCTTTCTTTCTTTCCTT